AAATTGTTCGAAAGTGGATTGCCTTTAAAATGATATATAAATCAATGTATCATATTGGACATAGCTATTTTTATTCTGATTTGAAGTTGGGTATTGGTTTTTTTGACCCACCCTGTATACACTGAATAAGCAAATCTTCTGAGTCGTCCTGGTAACTAGAATAACAGGAGATTTATATCGTATAATTTATTCTTTATTTATATATACAGGTACACATTATTTACTATTAATGGACGAAGCAGTAATGATAGTAATAAGGACATCACCTAAATCAACAGTATTGTAGAATTACAATATATTATATATTTATTCACTATTTACATGCATCTAAATAGTATATAATCCACATCGTATTCTGTTCGCTTTTATTATGAATTATACACAAACGTCACGTCTCTTACATGTCATGGCTGAAATAAAAGTGACTTATAAGGAAGTCTGCCCACCAAAAATGGGTGGAATATATTTTGAAATATACGAATTATATTCTCTGTGTGGCTTAACAGCTAAACCTAAATGAGATCATTGTATGGTTTTCAACTCTTTGTTATATATAGATTATATTGTTAGTCTCAGAATTAACACAAACCTCTAGAATAACATGCAAATATTTCGCTCTATTTGGGTGAATACTTGTTCATCTTTCAATGATTCTAGACAGGTGTATTCCCTGAAGCTCGAAGATTAGATTGTTTATTTTCAAAATTTAATCTGAAATTTTACTGAACTTCTACCTCGGTAAAAGATCATTAAATAGTAAAGTTCTTTATAAAAATCTTAATGAAAAGAAGATGCAAATTTCTTTTATAGTATTTAATTAAACAGCTGTTAATTTGAAAAGAGCAAAAAACAATAATGTATCAAAACTATTTTTATAAATATTACATCTATATTCGCTCAATATAATGTTAAGAAATGGATATAAATCTTTAAAAAAATAACTACAGTAACGTATCAGGAAGTTTTCAAACTATTTAATATTTGTTTCAAATCAAAAACCAAAGAGAGACAATCGATAAGTGATATCATAAATCGGATCATAACTATGATTGCTTAAATAAAGTTTGTTCGAATGAATGAATCGTTCAAGGTATTTTGGAATTCATACTACATCAATCAAATTGATGCGTTATGTAATTGATGTATCCATAGAAGATAGCTGAACCCAGAGACACTCCAAATATTTAATCAGTTTCAAATTACACTTCAACAAACAGTAGAAAGATGTAACAAGTTTCTATATTTGAACGATACAGTAACATTATAACGATAAGTAAAGACAATATTTACAAGATAAACCGCGCATACAATGCCTCGACCATGATTCTTAAAAAATGGCAATAAATCCGAAATGTAAAAATTGATACATAACACATTACACCTAGAATAATACCCCGATAGCAGATTGTAGTTCTAACTAAGGTAAACGAAGCAAAGCCAAACGAATGCAAATCATGTGAAAATCATAAACCGTTCAAGTCACATCCCATTCTCTTCCAAATATAGATTTATCTACAGGGTGGTCCTAAAAAGTGAACCCTTGCAACCGGCTATATTTCCCTTATTACCTGTAGGACTCCTTTCATAGTTTCACATGTTGTAGAAGAAGGTCTAACATTTTTGTTGGTACTATTACATTTTTCTTAGTATTGAAATTTGCAGAAATTATAAGCCTAAAAATGGGTAAAACAAAATAGTGAACTTAAATATCTGCGATTCTTCAACCCCTCAACAATATTCCCATGGAAATCTTTTAAGCCGGAGTCTGGGAAACCTAAAGTTTTCTGACTTTGTTTGGTTTTGAATCCCACTCAATATGATTTAAAAATTAGTATCCTACCTCTGTTAGTTGCAAAGTTATTGTGATCAAAATAAATGTTCAATGTTTCCAAAGACGAGAGCATCTTCCAGTGAAATCGCTTAAACTTATAATCTCTCACTGAAAGCATTTTTAAGATCATCTAATGTGTATCAACAATTTCTGTCAATCACATTGGTAAAATTTTGCACAAAATCTAATTTGAGGCAAGTCTTGTAATTGCTTCGAAATTCAAGACTGAGAATAAACTATGGTGTCAACAAAAAGTTTAGACCTTTCTCTACATGATGTGATAATATGAGCAAAGTCATGCATGTATTAAGGAAAATATAGCCTGTTGCAGGGGCTCACTTTTTTGGACCACCCTGTAAGTAATATTGTTCCAAAAAGTTTACATTGTTTTGCTGAAATTGCAAATAATTGAAACCAAGCTCGCAAATAATTGAAAACAAGCTCATAAATAGTTATTACAAAACTCAAAAATAGATCAAAAATTAAAACCAAGCTCCCAAATAGGTAAATCGAAGCTTAAATAGTTAAAACCAAGCTCCAAAATAGGAAAGGTAAAATGAAGCTCAGATAGTTATAACCAAGCTCCCAAATAGTGACAACCAAATTCACAATTGGCTGCAACTAAACTTGTCTTGACATTGTATTTACGGATAATGATTTTATACTTAGTTACAATCTACAATAAGTTTGACTAGCACAGCAGCTCTCGGTAATTGTAAATACCAACATGTACATATAATATACATGTACAATATATGAATATATACATTTTTACAATCATAGTTTTCTAGAATAGAAATTATAGTTTAGTTTACCATCGGTGTAACATCGATCAGAGTTTCCTAAATGATTAGGACTGGGGCGTGAACCAAGCTCCAGTCTACTTTAACAAGCGGCTTATTGGGTTAAAACCAAAATCACTGCCCTCAGTCGAAATGAATTCTAGTGATTCCCCGACAAGAATCGTTGACGCTTTTAGACACCAAGCAGAAGCGCCAAAGTTAATTAAATATTGGAATAGAATTTAGAATATAAGTGAATTTATATGACTCAATATTTCCCTGAAAGGCACCATACAAATGCGACTAATGCTTTTCACGACTTGCTTCGTTTGTATCGTATCTAACCAATCAATAAGGAATTAAGGAGAGGAAATGCCCAAATCGAAACTTGTCACAAATTCTTTTTATTGCATACCGCCATTCGTCTCTTTATAAATTCGAACAATTAATACATTTCGAGAAAGTTTACATTCACTTATGAGTCGTTTTTATTATCATTATTGATGTTTCTTTGCAAATAACATCAACTGACTGGAAATGGGCTGATAATAAGCAATGTTGATGAACATTTTATCACATCATTTGCTTATAATCATAACGTATTTACTGGTAGAATGCATAATTGTTTTACTTAGCCAGTTGTCAAGAGAAATGCATCCTTCAATGGCGATTGAAGATGTTATACTCAAGTCCAATAAACCCTATCGAAAACTAATCACACAACCTTTTCTAAATGAGACGATGAACAAGTAGTATGACGATCCCAGTGTCCAACTGGGAGGGGACATATGACCACGGGGCATCCATTCCAATCAACTGGGGTCAAAAGGATGCATGTATTTCGTAGTTTCCGCCCCTTCGGAATATCTGATCAATTGACTAAAAATACGATGATTTAACAATTTTCAATAATTTCCAGAAGTTAATATTATATGAGTGCGATATAAAACTACCGTGTATATGCATGGCCAGAAGGAGATGATCACACATCCATACAAGATGTTCCATCGTATGCGATCAGTCTTTTTACAGTTCGTTACTAGAAGGGAAGATGTGTTCAGTAGTATCAAAATAGGGATAACCAAACACTGTCCCACATCAAAAAGTGACTTTTGTTATCTCTAGAAAAAATGACATTGCCACCTGATGTTGCTATAGCCTTCGATTCTATTATGCATGCTTCAATTACGGGGCCACGTGTTGTTAGCCAACTGTTAGCACTAGGCTGTTTAATCATGCGCAGTCGCTCATATGATTGATGGACGTCTGCTTCACCAGTTTCCCAATAAAACTGCACCGAGGAAATTTGGAGTGATGGGGCCTAGTTATCAGATTTGCCATTCTGAACCAAATGAAAAAATCTACGATAATTTGTGGTCCTCAAGTGAGAGGCTATAAATATTATTCTTGACATTCATATCGTGTTCGTTTGATGACTTTACGATTGGAATGTTAACGCTATCTATGAGATACATGTACATGATCTGCAATATCTCGTTCAACCCGATCAACTTGAAGCGGGCTCGTAGATATTTCAAGCTTGGTGACGTTTTATTGTACTAGCGTTAAGCCATTAAACAACATTATAATCGAGAGTTAAGTATCGAACGACGTTTCATTTTTTGCAGCATTCGGAACAGTTAAGATGTCATTAAGGGGGATATCATTATCAAAGAGAAATGATTCAGACATGCTTATGGTTTGAAAAGTTACAACGGGCAGTCTTATATTTGTTTTACGTTCATGGGTAGTGCCGTCTAGATAATTATGTTCTATAGCTGATACAATGTTGTTTCATTATCTGTGTTATAATTCGATTACTGATATGAGGGCATTTTAGATGTAGTTTAGGAACAAGTAGATATCAATATTCTCTAACGACTAGCATAACATTAGTGAACATTTATATTTTCATCAGATGGTATTCATAAACGATTGATTCATGATTCAAGGAAACATATAGATCTTTGTAGATCAACATGTTTGCGTTTCGTTTCTACCTTTTACACGATACGTCCAATTTACGGAGTGTATTTCAGACATCATACATTGTAACTCATGATAAATATCTCATTACATGTTATCACACTTCAGTCCCGTATTCTCATACCATAGTACCAATATTCAATTAGATATTCTTATCTCAATAGTTGTTCATATCAACCAATCTTACAAAATTCAGATTGCAGTTTATTAGACCGAAGCTCATTGCCAGAACACTATCTTATTACATCTATTGACACATATTTATATACTGGTACTTCGTATATATGTACATCTTTATTATTTGTCTGTTGGAACGTCATCACAACCAACCCCTCCATTAACTCGTTCATGGTAGGTTAATTTGGATTTGTCCTTTATTGGAGTCCCCCCTGCTCGTCCCCATGTTCATTATAGCACGAACTCATAGGGGTCTCATCGATTATCCCACTTAGATACTACTAGATACTAGTACATATCTGGTCTCTTTCTCATTGTCTTTCATGAGACCACGTATGGCCGAAATGAACTGTTCTGCACGAACTGCCATTCCTCATTAGTGGTCAGTTCTATCCCTAAAGAAAACCAGTAGCTAACTTATTTGTCATCTATCGTCTTAGTCTCTTGTATTTTATGAATAGTATTTCCATTTATCTGCGAACGAACTAAAACAATAAACACGTTTGTCACTAGCAGCATTTCAGCGTGATAACTCCACCGAGACCGAGTATTTGGTGAAATACCCAGGTTGGGACATCTCCCGCGATCTCATGGAATTATGACAATTCAATCTCATATTAATATAAATCTACAGATAGTACTCATGTATAATTATAGTGATATCACATTCTGACGTAACACATTCACATTTGTCTTGTTATACTAACAACCACACATTGTTAGTTGAGTTGCACATTTCATCCGATGGCAATATGTTTACAAGCTTTTAAGAAAGCTGACTGACATTAGTTGATGCCTTGCTTGTGCTGTTTGTGGGGCCGTCTAGTCAGATGGCCGTGTCTCCAGTAGCCGGTGTTGTTAAATAGGCGGATTTTCCGTTCTCGGTAGCTAGGGCGGTGTATTGAGAGTGTTCGCGGTCAGAGGGAGCAGTGCCGCGACTGAACAACCTTCTGAACGTATCTCGAAACTGCCTGCTCATTCCACAATATATAAAGAAGTTAAGTGGGTAAGAGAAAATAATGAAGAAATTTGTAAATAGGGCAATTGTGTTCATTGTTATGGGAGGCACTAGTCCTATTTTAAATGTATTTTCTACTATAATGATGATGAAAACAACGCCTTGTGGAACTTCGACCAGTAGAAAAACACCTACCACCGCCACTAACATCAGTGTAGTGCAGTTACTGTCTTTTAACTTCTTCGATTCGCTTTTCCTATTTTGTTTTAAAAGCATCTGGCGTCGCTTCTGCGCGTTCTTCATTGCATGGATCAATAGGGCATTCAGCACCACCAGTGACGTACACGGAATCATGTGGATGAATATAACACGGAACCAAAAATAGATGTTGTAGTAAATGTCTTCGATGCTCAACACCCACGAGCGTCTTTGTAGTAAACATCCCGTGAAAATTTCCCCCGGGGTACGTTGAGAATCAACCTCGATCGGATCAATAATATTTTCACCAAATTTACTAGCTTGTGAAAGAATGGCGAGAACGTATGCGACTATAATGCCTTTGATGGTAGCAGGTATCGTGCACCATTGTTTTGCCTTAATACTATAGCAGACGTAAATGTATCGCTGTAAAGCCAGTCCCATTGTCAGCCAGATAGAAGCGGTATGAAATATCGTTGGTATAATGTCTGAAAAGTACAAATATAGGTAACACCAGTCAATGCTGACATAGTCTTTAAAGTACCCAAAGGCGTAGAAATGGAGAAACACTGGCATGGGAAATATTCCAGTGAACATATCACTCACCGCCATCGCGACTAGGAGGGTGTTTGTCGGAGATCTCATGTTCTTTTTCATAAGAACCACGCACACTAAAGTATTCGTAACAATCGTCAGTATTATAAGGAACGGTGTAAAGAATCCATAGATCGGAACAACGAATTCCTTTGGCGCCATCATGTAAGGATAAAGTATGAACGGTCCCCCTCCCCCGCCATCCGTATTATTTGTGAAGTTACCAACTGTGGTCAGTCCCTCGCTACTTGTTGTGGCAATCGTACTTAGTGTGTCCATGGCAACGTCGATATCTGCTTTTATACGTGTCATCACCTGACCGTTCCTATACATCAATGATGTCTTGTTGTAAGAGGCTATCGAGTTTGCCATGGTTACGCTTATTAGTTAGGGTATGGAGTCTTAAACTCTTGCGCAACCTCTACTTGAGAGGACTTGAGAAAACGTAAGCTTATATGTTTTTTATTCTGTTGAACTAACCATTTCAGATCACGTTCAGATTTGCTTGGAGTTCTATCAATTCAAGTGGTATCGATCTGCTTGAAGTCCCAAGGATGTATCCTTGTTATTTTATCTCCATATCTGAAAGTACAAAAAGAAGATTCAATTTCCTATTGACGTATACGTATGACGTAAAGTTTGACGTTTCCTGTTTTTTGCAGTCCCCTTGGTATAACATCACTTATACGCAATGCTCCCTGGGAAAATAGAACTTCTTGTAAACGATGGTATAAATCAATCTTGATACTGCTCAGTCACGAATTTTTAACAATAAATCACAATTAGCATCGTGTTCATTTGATTATCATATGGCAGTAAATAATTTATGTTTATAAGTTTATAAATAGTCTATGTTCTCAAGAGGCTATCGCGTCACCGTATACGTTACTAAAAATCTACTTTTTTTCATGATGCTTTAAAAATATGAATTTTGTTTTACTTTTACTTTAAAATTGAATTTATTACGATTTTAACCACAAATACCTCATTGCGCGTTTTACAAATTTGTTCTCCTACCACTATTTGGAAGAAAGGATAAGTGGTTTAAACTTTCCCCAAATTTGCAGTTACATTGCAAAAAAACTTACGTTATATAGTTACATTTGTTGAACTGTTTTTTTGCTCATCAATTCTCCTCCTTTCAAATGTGTTTCAAATTATAATCTTGGTTTCAAATCAAATCGATTGATTCTATCACAACTATTATTAAATTTTTCTGACACCTTGCTTATTAACTCAGTTTATAATCAATATGGGTTAAATGATAAGTCACAGAGAGCAAAACGATAATTAAAAATTTGGGACAATGGGTTGTAAGTAAAATATAACCACAGAAACTGCAGCTTACCCAATTTACCCTCTTGGTTGATGACACGAATAAACTATATCATGATATAGCAGTATTTTCTTTTTCAAAATACATGTGTATTAAATTCATAAAGATACGACTTGGAAATCAATATATTGAAGAATATAGGACTTTAAGGATGTTACATTGTGTAATCTTTATCAAATTTTAAAATAATGATTACATACTGCACACAGACTTACACGGCGCATGCGCATGTAGAGGTACTTTTATGTGATTATTTACTTTATGAGATTTGGCTACTGCGTGTTGTGTCTGGATTGTTATGTCATTGATAACCATTGAACTCATCTTTAATAAAACTTATAATTAACAAATAAAAATGTCAGCAAACTAGAAAAAGGAGATACATTTTTTACGGAAACGCTCGAAATACTTGCGAAGTGTGAAATTAATAATCAGGAAATACTACCAGTTTGTGAAAATTATTATTTTTTGGAGAGGATTCTTATCATTGACGTCTTCTTTGATCTTCATGATCACCTGTAATATGACTGACAATTGTTTTGGAACTGGATCATGTCTGTCTCGACGTTATGAATGCCACTTATGTATGCCATAAAATGCCATCTGATTACTTTACATTTCGAGCAACCTTTAAGTATCCTATAGTTAGTATTCATTATATAATCGTAGGTAGGTGCATGCACATTTCCCCGAATTAATATATTAGAGACATTTCTGTAAAAACCACATCGTTCTCGCATATGCATTCGTCTTTCATTTTTAACCACATTACCCAAGATATATTTTCATGACATACAAGGATAAACCAAACCGCCGCCATATTAGAGCGTCGCATGTCAACATGTTTTATTAAGAAAACTATGTATACAAGAATATCAATTATTACCACCTTGTCGGGCCAGTTCTAGGGGTTTTAGTGCTAGTTTAGAAGGCATTCATTTTACTATATTGCCCTTCAAAATGACGTTATTGTATTAATATTCGTTCTGTGGTTTCATATCGTTCATTGTCATATGTACATGTAGTTTCTAAAAAGTTATACATTAATCCAGGGAAGCTAAATCTTGTTACATATATGTGTTCATTTTGGGAAAATTTAAACACTTTTTTACTTTGAATATTACATAACTTCTCTGTTTTACAAAATTCCAAAGATTTTTAAGGTGATATACATGAAATGGTAAATACACATTGGTAGGTCGATCGCCTATGGTTATTTATATGTCTGCCTTTACTCGTTTATCCACTAGGAAGTGGCAGACAGATTACAACCTATATAATCTCCAAACCATGTCCCCGAGCAAGACTTCAGTCATAATGGTATTTACAGGGTAATAAAATGCAATCCATGAACAAAAATGAAAGAATGTGACTCTTAGAAGGTTGAGGAAGTAGGTCAAATAAGTTAAGAGAACTAGGTCAGGGTAAACTAGCATCGTACTTTATCAAACACGGTTCTAACAATATCCACGTAATATAGCCTATTATTTCCCTTCCTACTTTCGGTTTCGATTATATGTCACATTTATAAATTTTCACCTCATTGCAAACCCCATATGCAGTTTAAACTTTTTATAGCTGACCATATCCAAAAGTGTATACACGCCAAATTCTTTCATCAAGTAATCTTACCTATCAATTTGTAATACGAGTATTGTACATTGCTTTTCATCCTATTTTATAAAAATATGTGTATATTTTAGTCAGTATAATTCCATTATATATATTTCATGATGTTTGGACCAATACTAACGAAATACCGGACCCAGTCACCTTATTTACTGAACACCCTGTAATAATAGTCTATTTCAAAATCATAGTGCAATGTTATATGAAAAGATATTATCATATTTTACATGCAAAACGTTTACATATATTTTGGATTGTTAGTGATCTGGCTCATAAAATATGTGGACTTTTTTTGGATTTTTATGCTTCCCAGACATGTAATTTCCCAAAAAAATTAACATGGCTGAAACTTCCCAAATTACAAGAGGCCACGGGTTTATTGCACATAAAACTAATTTATCTGAAATAAACAAACGATTTGCGTGCAAAATATGAATATAATTTTCCATATAATAATACAGTGTTGTCATAATTGCTCATTTTTAGGTTAAATTGACGCACAACCCAAATGAAAATGAATATGCAAGTTCGTGTTTTATGAATTCAGTAAATTCGTTATCAGTTGACATGTAACCATAATTTGCTACAATAGTATCCTCCTCTAATAGCTTATTAAAAGCTTTATGATTACCATGAAGATTAATTCATTGTACTAATTATATTCATATATTATTTATTTGTGTAGTCATTAGACCTATAAGCTGTTTATGAGTTCACGGTAGATACAATACAAATCTCGCTGATGCCCTCCCAAATTCAAATACTTTTTTTTGCTTCTAGCTCGAATTATTATCAATATTATAACTATACTTGGCGTCACCTGGTGCAACTTATGCATCAACATATTGGAAAATAAATGGCAAATGCAACAGAATCCTTGCCCCTATCTATTTGAAGGAATCATAATATACCTGTATTATGCCTAGATGACATTCTATTCAAGGTGCGGGACAAATGTGACATATACAGGTAGGACGGAGAGAAGTAAAGTGATGTACAATGATATGATATGCCCGGTATGTTGAATTGGATGTAATCGGCCCACGTGATAGATTTGGTAAAATCGAACATAATGGTTTTGGTGAAACCTGAGACTAAGGTGAAACAAAGATCAATTTTGTATATGTTTTACGGTGGAATTCTACTAAGTATTTCAAGTAGTGTGAGACTAGTTTACATGTGAAAAGGTAAAACATATTTTACCACTCAAACATCAGCAGTTCTCTCCATCGGTACATAAATTCACCAATAGGCCTTTGTTTAATCATCACTTGTTTGGTAAAATCGAACATGATGAATTTGGTGAAACTGGTGAAACTAACATCAATTTGGTATGCCATTGTATATAATTTTGTATATAGTTCAGTTGGCATAACCTGGTATAATTAATATGATTTCCTTCGATATATCGAGCCATTTTAATTTGCGATATATAGATAATTATTAAATAGTTATACTAACTAAGAAAATGACTTCTAGGTCCAGTTCTTAAGATAAGATTCGTGTATAGTTTACATGCTGCCAACGTTCAAAGGAAAAATTTCAAAAGAAACTTAATTAAATGCAAATTTAACATAATTTTCCAATAATCAAACATTACCCATTCAAACATTCTTATTAATAAATGCATCTACACGAAATATTATATTACTTAATCGTCATTTTAGCGCAAATAAGCGCAGGAAATAAACCTGTATGCAAAATAGAATTGACTTTGAAATATATACGATTTAATATTTACCATCTATGGGTCTATGGAATAATTTCTGGAATCATTGTATTTTTCGATCGAAAATAACATGTGAAATGTCTTATGCATGCTCATTTGATACACTCCCCTCTATAAGGTTGGGAATCGAGAATAACATGTGAAATGTCTTATGAATGCTCATTTGATGCACTCCCATCTATAAGGTTGGGAATCGAGAATAACATGTGAAATGTCTTATGAATGCTCATTTGATACACTCCCCTCTATAAGGTTGGGAATCGAGAATAACATGTGAAATGTCTTATGCATGCTCATTTGATGCACTCCCATCTATAAGGTTGGGAATCGAGAATAACATGTGAAATGTCTTATGCATGCTCATTTGATGCACTCCCATCTATAAGGTTGGGAATCGAGAATAACATGTGAAATGTCTTATGAATGCTCATTTGATACACTCCCCTCTATAAGGTTGGGAATCGAGAATAACATGTGAAATGTCTTATGAATGCTCATTTGATACACTCCCCTCTATACGGTTGGGAATCGAGAATAACATGTGAAATGTCTCATGAATGCTCATTTGATACACTCCCCTCTATAAGGTTGGGAATCGAGAATAACATGTGAAATGTCTTATGCATGCTCATTTGATGCACTCCCATCTATAAGGTTGGGAATCGAGAATAACATGTGAAATGTCTTATGGATGTTCATTTGATACACTCCCCTCTATAAGGTTGGGAATCGAGAATAACATGTGAAATGTCTTATGAATGCTCATTTGATACACTCCCCTCTATAAGGTTGGGAATCGAGAATAACATGTGAAATGTCTTATGAATGCTCATCTGATACACTCCCCTCTATAAGGTTGGGAATCGAGAATAACATGTGAAATGTCTT